TTGAGTTTGTAAATTAATTGAGGCTGACACTTTGTACCAGCTTCGAGAGAGAGAGAGAGGAAGAGCAAAAAAAAACAACAAAAGCACAAAACAGGCGGATAAATAGAAGTTCTATGAGAAAAAAACGACATATAACAAATATATTTGCCCGTTCATTTCACTGTTCCAGTGGCATGTTTGTTGATGTGAGGTAGCAACAGCTCCTCCACTTGCGGCACCAGAATGTTTTTTGTGTCGAAGAAAAGTGTGCCATATCGTGTATGTGTTAGCGAAAATGTTGAACTCGCAACTATCGCATCTAATATTTAGCGCTGCTTGGGATGCATTAGGACAAAGAGAGACCAAGAGCGAGACACAACCGTATTTCGGAATCGAGATGAAAATAACATTAGTTAGATTATTAGTTGTCCAAAATTAATGCGATGATTCAATTCATGTCAATCACGGATGTGAATTTTAATTCCCATGGATTGATAACACTTTTTTTTAATCAACTGAGTGAGCCCAATGTCTACAGAGAACGAAACAACAACAACAAAAAATGCAAAGTGCTGCCAAAGATAAAACGAATTCTTGTATAGACTTGTTGGAACGGGTCACATAGATCGATAGCGGATGATAAGCGATGCCACAAAATGTAACTTAACGTCGAAATTTAAAAACAAAAGCGAACCACATACACACCCAATTAAAGCGTATTCGTCATCAATGCAAATAAATTGAGCGTGCTATTATGGGTTCATTGTTGGTTTGTTTTCTTTTCTTTTATCATTCTCTGGCTTTTGAAAGACGATAAATTGAGATTATGTTTGCATACATAAAGTATACATTTGAATGGAGTCTGTATATCATCATAATGACTGGTTTCCCATTCGTCAAAGGCGTTGATAAATCACAACTCCAATTAAAGTGATATAATCGAGCGAATATGATACAGAGAGTGAAAAAAACAGTCTGCCAAAACTTCGACTAGCACATTGTTTCGACAGGCATGCTTGCCTAGATTCAAATGCTGAGAATTGAAACGGTGCATGTTGATGAAAGAAAAAAAATGCCGATGCGAATGACAAACACTCTGTTTGCTGTTCACCAAACTATGCTTTCGTGATTCGCATAATGAAAAAAACAAAAATCATTTAAAACCGAAGCGAAAAAAAGTTTGTAATTTGCTTGTGAATATGATTTCTGTGGACGAGGTGTGTGTGTGCGAGTGAGCGCGTTCTTGCATTTGCCATATCCGTGCGAGCGCTCGCGGACACATACCAAATTGTATACTTTTATAGGTTTTTTTCCTTATTCTACTTCTGCATCGACAGCTCGTTTTTTGCACTCTTCGTTTGAGCTGTGCTTTGCGTGTGCTGCAGATGTCGACATTTTTTTCTTCGTTCGAATTCGAACGAATAACTGGAGAAGAGGAAAAAAATCATACACACACACACACGACTCTGGCGATTACAACACACAAAGAAGGCGAAGAAATAAAAAAATACCGAAAACGAGAATCGGAATAATACACAAGTCTGAAAGCGCCTCCGACATAATCGTGTATGAATTTTTTGGATTTGTGCACACTTTAACACATGCAATTCAAGAAATCGCAGTTTTAAAATCGACTCTCTTGCCGTGTCTCGAAAGCAAGGCAAGCGTATAAGCGTGGCGAGGCAAGGCAAATTCAGCGCTCGAAGGCAAAATCACAAGAAAATACGGCAAATCGCTGTTGCTGCTGCTGCTGCTGCTGCGACGACGACGACGACGAGGCAGCCAAATATTTTTTTGGTTCTTGCCAACTTTAATTTGCACGTATGTAAAGCAATAATATTGGAATGCTCAAGAGGCACTTTCGGCTGCCGCGCGTACACTTTGGAATACATCGCCGCTTACGAACGCAAACAAACAGTACAACGGAACAAATAAACTTCGAATTCGAGACTATATACGACTATATCGATGTCATGGAGCGCGCGAAAATTGCACAATTTCATAAAATAAAAATTGTTTTTCGGTGCAACGTTCACTAGTTTATAAATTGAAACTTGGGCCATCCGAAACTCAACGAGAACGACGCCAAAATGTGAATGCAATAGAGAAGACTCGTCTTGAATTTGGTTTTATCAACAAAAATCTTCATTTTTCTCTATTTCTTCAAAAAAGTTTAAACGAGTGTTTGGTATGATTACAATTTCGACTTCTTCAAATAGACGAAGTTTATATTCAACAACAAATCTTCAAATGGAAGTGAAGATTTTCGCTTTCATCACTTCAAGTTGCGTTCAAATTACTTGTAGTACTTTACAGTATTCGAGTCGACAAATAGTTTTTGCTTCTTCTTCTGATCAATCAAGCAAATCGCACCATATGACCACTAGACGCCGTCCACTTAAACGGTCGCTTGTTGTTTTTTTTTATTTGGTTTGGTGTTGTTTGCCCATATTTATTTTTTCAAATTTTCCTATATGAGGCCTGCGTTTGCTGTCGATTCATCACAAATTTTTTTCACTGAGTCGATAGAGTTGTTTGTTGGAAATTGCAGCAGTGCATAAACGAGTTCTTTTTGTTCTCATTTGCTGAGTACACAGAGTACAATGTTCATTGGATTACAGCGCGCTGTGTATGCCTTTATGCAATGGATGATGGTAGTTGTGAGTACGATGTTTGGCTTGCTGTTGCTGCTTTTTTGAGTGTGTTTCGTCGTTCTTTCTCTGTTCACCGTGACTACCGCCGTAAAAACGTGATTCTTTTTGTAAACAGCCAGCAATACCTGTATGCGAACAATGCACACACACACACACACACAAATATACACGTGAAGCAAAATCACTCGCACAGCGATTACGCGAAGAATACGGCTTAGCGCGGTAAATTCGACTAGAAAAATTATTTAAAATATGGCAGCAAATACGCCCAAATCATCCGCTTTTATCAAACGAAATAATTGTAGCGTTGGAGCTGCTTGAAATTTTATTACCATTTTTTTTGTTCATGATATTTCACTCGTTCGCCATGGCAAAAAGGTAACTAACTACTTGAGCATTTAAGATGCATGCTCAAGTATTCAATATAAAGCCTTCGAGGTGTGCTTTTTTCAAGAAAATCATCAAAGTATCAAATCAAATTTCGTGTTCAAAAATGATCCGGAATCATATACACGAATATTGAAAGAGAGAGAGAAACGAAGAGGAAAAAGTGCGCTCAGCACATATATGGCATGCAAGAACGCATCAGCATAAGCACAAGTACAAACTTCACATAAAAGGTAGAATTTCACAAAAAAAGGTGTACTTTTTTTCGACACTCGTCGTCGTAGTCGTTTAACTTAAAAACTCTCGATTTTCTTATACATGCAGCGAAAAAAAGCGATGTGTACTTGCAAAGCTGTTGTATATGCCATGTATATACTTGCATATACATGTTATGATCGCGGCAACGGTGACGCTATCACAGCAGTACCCGAATTGGTGTGTCGTTGCCGCAACAAGCATAGCATAGCCAGTTAGAATAATGACGCGTTCACTAACGTTCAATCTACTTGATGGGCTCTGTGTGTAAAGCGAGAGAGAGAGAGAGAGAGAGAGAGAGAGAGATTTTCGATTTCGATTCATGACCGAGCGCAAACAAGCAACAAAAAAAACCCATTGCATGTGTATACTGTGCCACCGTCGCCGCCGCCATCGTCGTCGTTGTCGTCTATACTGTAAACTCCTAAGCATGAACGAAAAAAAATAAGATTTTGGTCGGCGTATGTATGTGCGCGTTTTTTTTTGTTCGTTCGTACGTTCGTTCGTTCGACTCTCGACTGTCGATTGTGCAAGTGTTTGGTGCGGAAGAAAGCGACAATGCGATTTTTTTATTCGGTCGAAAACTGTACCAACGAACACGAAAGGGAGACAACGATATACTTATAACAGGCGTTTTATCAAATGGCAAAATGCTGTGCGAGCAAATGCGCGAATTTACCGATGACACGAAATTATACTACATTTTTATGTTTTAACATGACAGACAACGCAAACCGTAGACTGAGTCGAGCGCAGCGAAGAGAAAAAAAACGAATCATCGCATTAAAAAAAATGAAAGAAATTCATAAAATATGAATATAAGCTCCCCGACGCATACACAGTCAACACAACAGTAGTGATATGAGCCAATATGCTTAGTCGCACTGTGCTCAAGACTCTTGATAGGTACTTTAAGCGAAGGAAGTTTCAGTTATGTCAAAAGGAGAATTACATAGCAACAGAAAAAAGTGCTATCAAGAGCAAAACGTTATGTGAATAAAAAAAAATGTCGACGGAACAAAGTGAACCGTGCGCCACCAAAGTTCGATTGGGTACTTATTTAGAGAAAAATCGAATTGGAGTAAATGAAAAAAAAAATTATGGATTTTCTCGGCGGTAACAGCAGCATGAAAATAAAGCAGAATCAACGGCACAACGAGATAATGTAGAGATGATGAAGAGAAAAAAAATAATAATTTCTGTCACTTTTTTCATCGTATTCCTTAAAATGTGCTTGCAGAAATCGCAAAAGTCTAAGCGAGAAAAAAAAATCTTTTCAAGTTGAGCCACCGTTTTTTTTTCTTCAAAGGTGAACGCGAGCTTGTGATATATTTAATTTACTAACACCGCGTCATTTTCTTCGTGATATTTTCTCTCCGGAAATTATTTCGTGCGATTAATATTTTGACGTTTTTTTTTCCTCATTCGATCTGTGGCCTCTCATCCGTTTTCGTTCCACGTACTTGATTCGTTGTTATGTTTTCATCGCATCGAATGATGATTGAACGATATTCACAAAAGGTGCAGATTAGGTCGATGGTATTTGATTCAAAACGGATTAATTTCGTTGAGATAAAATTTTCATTTCTGATAATGTATATTAATTGACAACACAAAACGGTTTTTTTTGCGTCGGAGATAAAAATTGGTCAATACAACCACATAAAAGCTAAAACAAAAATCAATCGAATCTAGACAGAGAGAGAATTAGCAATCGATATTTACCTTGGTTTCAGTCATTTGCCCGTCATTGTTGGAGAGCGGTGTTGGCGGTGTCGATGGTGAGCTATATGCTTTTTGATCTGGTTGTTGATGAGATTGATGATGTTCATGACGTCCAATGTCCACATTGTTTCGTGCATTCGTGTTATTATTGTTATTGTTGTTATTGTTGGTGTTGTTCACATCGTTGTTGCTGCGTCCAACCAGATCGATGCCATTGGCCAATTTATTGTAGTCCAGCCGATCATGGTTTCGTAAATCAATGTTGAATGGTTTGTAGTCGTGCATGAGGGTGCTCATCGGGCCCAATTGTAAAACACCGCGTTCGTTCATCGAGCGCAGCTGATCGATGGATCGATGAATGTGACTGTAGTCGGGTCCAGGTATTTCCGCCATCAGAGGTGAGCTGTGATGATCCAGCCCAAAACCGGGCTTATATTCAATTGTACGACCCTCCAGTTTAATAACCAACAAAAACTTGTGTAAAAATGGTGTTGGCCCTTTATTTTGCGCTTATCACGGTTTTATGCCTTGTTCAACAAGAGATAGTATGGCTTTTGTGTTTATGTTCGTTTTTTATTTCTCAGAATACAGTTTTGCCCACTGATTCACTCGAAATTCCAACTCAAGCGATTCCACACCGGAAAAAATACTCGAGATAAATCGGCACAATTCACTTTCAGTTGCGATTATTTACCATTTGATGGTAATTAACACGTGATTAGGCTATCAACAAATGATAATCTTGTGCGCGCAAAACAATTTTTCTAGAGAAAAATCTTTCGGATATATACTAGTTCTGCGTCAAGTTTATCGGAAATGATGATGAGGGCAAGGCACTTTTGTATTTTGTGTGCTGACTTTTTCGAGAAAAAATCTTTTTTTTCGCTACGCTGATAAGTTTACGCTTTGTCACAACAATTTTTCGTTGATTTGAATTCCCACTGTATTAGTTCTGTGATTGTGTGTTTATTATTGAGTATTGCGCGCACAGAAATGAATGTTTCACAATTTAATAGGCTTTAAATCGCCGTTGAATTCGTTCAATGAGCGGATAAAAGTGTTCGAGTCTATCAAAACCCATATGAAAATCATTCGCGGCGAAAAATAATGAAGGAAAAAAATTCCCCGTAAATATTCTACGAATGAAAAGAAAAAAAATCGTCCAATTTTTCGGTGCACTTATTTTGAAACAGCAACGTTTTGCAGGTATATAAACATTTCGTATCAATCATCAATGCGCAACGGAATGCTTTTAAATATTTCAGTTTTTTTTTTCTTCTTCGGTTGTGAAAATAAAATCTAAGTCAATGATTTTTATATTTGTGTTCAGCCACCGCTAATGTGTTGTGATTCATATAGAAACGGATATTTTTAGAAAGAAAAAAAAAATTGAAGACGCGCCTCGTAAAGTAGCCTCGCCAGTTGTTCTGTTTTTTATTGAAAATTTACAGTTTTTTTTTCTTTGCTCTTGCTCGTTCAGTTCACATGAAGATGAATGTTTTTTTCGATGTCAATTCGCGCCACTTTCAGTTTATGTTATGATCACCCGCTAATTCACTATGAAAAAAATGTTTCGTTCGAAAAATGCACAGAAATTAATCTGTGTCCGGCTGAGTCGCGATGCAGTTTCCAAATGCTGGAATAATTTAGATTTTACTTCACACAACAGCGCAGAGTTCACAATTTTCAGTTCATAAATCACAATGCTCGCGCGATTTTCGATCGAAATTTATACACAGTGAAAAGTAACGATTTTTTTTTCAATTTACTTTTTGATTCGCGATTAATTTTGGCGCCAATTTGATTTAATTAAAATTGATTGGCTCTCGCGTTTTTAATATGTATGTTGGAAAAATGGAGCGATTTAGATTTTTTTTTTTTTTTAAATTACACACTCATTCCAAAAATCTGTTTTTTTTGTATGTCTTATTTACTTGTGCTTTGATTGAGCCACCGCCGATTCATTGAATACTATTGAGTGCGGTGAGACGAACAATCAAATCAAAACCAAAAGACCAACGGAAAAAAAATTGCTCGCATCGAATAATGTGTTAATCATTACGAAGCAAAAACTCGACTGGTTTAAGAAAAAATTGTTTTTGGTCCTCGAAAGGTTTTTTTTTCGTGTGTGCAGTGTGTCTCTCGCTCTCTTCTCTGTGTGTTGTTTTCGGTGTGGTGTTTGTGTGCTGCTACTGTTGTTTGTCGTGTGGCTGTCGTCGGATATAAAACATTTTTTTTCTTCATCTGTATTCGCTCCCTTTGCCTTCGCTTGTATAGTTTGATGTATATATGCATATGTGTAGACCGAAAAAATTACTACGATGTGTATTCAAGAGTTTTTATGAGAATACGGAACACACCAAAAAAAACCCATACACATTGACACAATAAAGTCGGAGCGGCTTACATTCATCGTGTGTTGTACAATGTTGTACAATCGAACACACGAGAGTGACGTGCACACATACACATAGAGACATAATACACACAGGGACAGAGAGACACAGACAGGCACATTGGCGCAACTACGGGTATGGCATACACAAAAACCATGCTCGTAGACCGAGACCGCAACGAAGCGATTGGCGTTTGTGTGCGTCGGAATGGGATGGTGATACTCGCATTGGCTGCATATCAGCGTTCAACTCACTTCATCCTGACAGAAAGACGGTTCATGTGGCGTATGCAGTACATGTGTGTATGCAAAACATGGAAGAGAGAGAAGAAAAAAAAACGGTGCAAGTGTGCGTGTGACACAGTGAACGAGAGAGAATCGCTCGGACGCTTAGCACGTACGGCAAACAGAGAACGCACCATATCGAGAACATGGATGGGAATACAATGTTGTCTGGTGTGCGCGCGAATGAAACAAAACATCTCTCAAATAAAATTCATTGAATCGTTTTTGCTGCGGTGCTTCGGCACACTTACACATTTACACAGTGTGTGTGTGTGTGTGTGTGTGTGTGTGTGTTTTCTTCAGGCCGATCATCACACTCGGCGCTCTTCTTTTTTCTTCCGCTGTATGGGTATTTTTTTTTTTGTTCTTCTCTCATGCAATACAACGTAATCGATGTTTGCTGGCTGCTCTGTGCACCGAATTGCTTTTAAGTCTATGTGCAGTTTTTAAACTCTCGCTCTTAGTACCACAAACACATACACACACATACACCGTTGCATGCACACAAAAACTGATACCAATTCATCAAAAAAACATATCGCCCGTTTTTATACATGTAAAATGCAATGCACGGCATTTTTCCCCTTTTTTCCTTCTTTCTCTCTCGCTCCGTTTCCAATTCGAAAAAAAAGCAAACCATTTATCGCATTTCGACTCATTTGATTCATAGATTTTTTATCGCTTTCGATGTGCCAGCACCGGAATTATCATAAACATGTTTTGTGGGCACATCACGTTCGCCATCAAATACTCATACCATCACGAATTGTGCGGCACAAATAGCGAAAATTGCTCGTTGATTTGTTCACTTAAATTGCAAATTCACAACAAAAGACCATTTTTTCTACATTCTCATTCGTTTGGCCAAACATGTAACAAGTGGATGCTGTGCAGTAGAATTCGCTTTTTACGGTTGCAAATGTCAAGAATCGCTGCGAGAGGAATGATTCTAGATTGTCCAAGAATGTTAGGCTGTTGTCATGAGTTTTGGCGATTTTTTTTCCTACAACTAAACACTTTCGTTTTTATTCTTTACTGTGGCCATCATTTGGCGAGTTTGAATGCGAGAGAGCGAGAGAGAAATAGAAGCGATAAAAAAAGGCCAAAACTTTGAATGAGAATCATGTGCGCGCGTGCACAAATACAACCGATTAAACAAAGAAAAAAAAATTCAATTGTGTTGATTATAGAGAAAAAAGCGGAGAAAAAAACGCTGGTGTGCTTCTATTGCAGCGAGTGAGAAAAAAATTGGATGGCATGCATGCCGCCTAAAGAAACGGGAAAGAGATGTGAAATCGTCTCAAACGGAGTGCGGCACTTTTTTTCGGCTACACTCATGTATGCGCGCAAACCTGTGTGAGCAAGAGTATGTATTGGTTGAGCGCCACACTCCGTATATCTATCGTTCTGAATCATATGGTCGACGATTTAGTTACTCGTTTTTTCTTCGTTTCACTTGAATCTATTCTAATTTGAATGCCTCGCTCTTTTTTGTCCTGTTTCGTCACCGCATTTTTTCTCACTTTGTCGCAAGTCTCGGAGAGAGGGAATATCGGCCCATTTCTCCTCATTTTTTTCCTGTCTAAGTCCATGTGGCTGTATGTGTGTGTGTGTGTGTGCAAGGAGTAGCATTTTTTCCAGACGTGATGCGTGCACAATAACATTCGATGAAGTAATTCGGTTTGGTTTAACGTATTTGCTCCACCGGCACTCAGTCGAAAGAGACGGAAGACAAAAAACCGTGTTTTTTTCTCTGCCGTCGTGCCGTCGTCGTCGTCGTCGTCGATGCTGTGGTGAGAGTATATTTTTTCCACAAAAAAATGAGCGATTCATAGTATCAGACATGGACGGAGTTTCCATCCTTGTCGCACCATTGGTATTGGCCGTGCCAAACGCACTACGCAACAGCGGGATGAACAGAAAAAAAAACTTTGACAAAATACAAACACTCTTTTTGGCTGTGCTCTCCATTACGGGCAACACATTACGTTTTTATTTTCTTCTTCATTCTCTCCAATCTTTTGCTTTTGATGGAGGAGCGTACACAGAAGCTGTTTAATGTTTGAAGGCACTCTTTTTTTTCTGTTCGCAAGTCAATTCTTTGGTTTTTTTGTGTGTTCTGTATTCCATTCACGTTTGTCTGGGCTCGTTTTGTCTTGTTCTGTTCTCGCTTCTGTGTCGTGTGTTTTTTATGTTGTCCTCTGTTTTATTTAAATAAACATTAATATTTTATTGGCTTTTTTCTCTCCGCCTGGTCGGCTGGTCTTTGGAATATAAAACATAAATCGGAACGACAACGACATGCCTACGATAAAAAACATGCGTAGATGAAACTGTCTCTTTTGGATTGTAAACTCATTTTTTTCGTATCGACTTTTTGAGCGCATATCTTTAAAGATCAGGCCAGTTTCTGGCATTTTTTTCCTTTCTCTAGACGAATTGATGGTGTGGCGCACACGTCTATTTCAATTTTCTGGGTCATTTTTCAAATTGATTCTTTTTTCTTTCGATTATTTTTGTTTTTGCTTCGAGCCGTTGAATTCATGTCATCACCCTGGACACATTTCTTTGCACCCGTTGCAGCCACACAAACAGTAATTTGCAAATACAATCGGAATTCCTCTCCGCTTGCGATGCATACACCTTTGTGAAATGTCGAAAATGCAACAAAGTGTCATTGCATGCGGCATACCGATTAACTTTTTGTGGCAATCGATTTTTTTTCTCTCTTTTCATTTTTTCATTGTGAATCCGAGTATGTTTGGCTTTTTTCCCTCTGCTCCTATATATTTCAACGTTTTTTTTCCTCTTTCGTTACTTTTTTTTCGCTGTGATTCTTTGCCCCTTTTTTGTTTGATTTTTTCTTATTTGCCTGTTGTTTTTTTTTCATACTAAACGAAGTGTGTGTTTGAGCAATGTTTACATTTTTTTAATGTGAACTTTTTTTTCTGCTCTTCGTACGTGTCTCCCATTATTTGAACTTGACTTTTTTTTATTTGGCACTCAATTTTTTACGCCGTTTTTTATACAATGTGCCAACCAACGAAATGTTTACATGAATTTAAAGAATTTCATTCAGTTCTGCGCTATGAACTATTTCTGTGTGTGTGTGTGTGATTTTTTTCTTCAATGAGATCAATCAACCACTGACCGATTTAATAAAATCGCGTATGTAAATTGAAGAGAAAAACACATTTATGACACCTTAACACTGCTCCCGTTTATTGCACTATGTGCAAATGCGCATCGAATTGATATCAGTCGATCTTAAAATCGAAACATTATTTATTTTGATTCAAAATCGTCGAATTTTCTATTTTTGTTCAATTTGGGGACTGAAAATGTAGCAGATGAGACGCCAAATTTTAGGACGAGCGTTGGTTTCGAATGAACATCGAATTTACGTCAGTGTCTACCTAAAAATGAAGAGGACGTGCACTTTCTTTTCCGAATGTTATCGAAAATGGCAAGATTTGTTTATTTGATTTTAAGATGTTTTTTACCATTATGAAATATAAACAAAATACTTGAATGTATTTTTATTCGAGTATTTTCGAAAAACAAAGGAACAAAACATGAAATTGGCAAAATATTTGAAGAAAGAATACTTGACGTTTTTTGCATTAACTCATTTTGTTCGCTCTTAAACTGGCGAAAAGAATTCTGGCTACGCAAATCGTCTTAATCATTAAGTCATAATGATTTCATTATAATCCTACGATATTGCTTCCTTTAATTCAATATTTCATCAAGTATTTATCTGTACATTTCTGGGGAAAATATGAATTAAACCAATTTTGGTTCCCGTTCATCTTGACGTTAGATACCAACGTAGCTTCCTACGCAGAAAAAACCCGATGGAAACATTATACCATTGCAGAGTAATAAAGCACTTGCATATTTAAAAATGGAATCGGTTGAGCTCCATTTTTTTTTCGTTGGTAACAAATTGAGGATAAATACGTACAATACCTTTAAATGTTTAAATGCATTAAAAAGGCGATTTCATCACAAAAAAATGTACGGGCGCTTCGATTGAGAATGTAGGGTAGAGTCGAGTTCGCCATTAAAAAAAATCGACGGTTGCCAAGCAGCGCGCAATGAATAAAAGAAGAAACGATTCGAATTTGAAGGCGGGTTGTTAAGAGCTAGGCATTGTTCTCACATTGTAATTTTTATTTTTCCACTGCTCGAAATATTGTATTCCACTTATTTCGTTGGGTTTTTTCTCTCATTCTCTCCCGTTTCACTCGATAATTTCTAGTTGTAGCTTGAAATTACAGACAAACCAAGCATCACGCATATATTAAAAATGAACGGTAGTCGATGGCAATGCCAGTGACAGCGATAGAAAAATTCATATGCGCGAATCGAAAAAAAAAATCCGGCGGCCCCAATAAGACAAAGGAGGACAATTTCACTCGATATCATATTTGATGGTGGCCGGAGAAACGAACAAGAGTACTCACTCTTGCCACACACACAAAATATCATAGATCGAACAAGATGATAAACAAACGGGCCACAGCGAATGGTAGGGGAGGAAGACCCAAAAAAAATACAAATACATAATCGAGCCACGAAACCTCGTTTCGAATGTATCCATACAGTAATATTCACAACTCACCCTCGGATATTCGGATTTTTTTAATTAAAACTTTTAAAGACAAGCCAAACAACGATGGAGTGGGAGATGTGACTCGACAACGGCCAACGCCGATAAATGCAATCGAAATGGCGAAAGAGTGAGTGCCA